TCAGGCTGTGTCTGTGAGGAAGAGGACAGGAGAATGAATGGGCCACAGCCTCAGCAGGAGGCACTCAGTGGGCTGGCTGGCGGGGCCAGTGGGGCCGGGTTCGTCCACAGGATGCTAACCCCACTGCGCCGCCCCTCAGAGTCCCCCCCAAGCCCAGCACAGATAACACTGGTCTTATTGTCCCGCTCTCCTACGGAGGCGTCCCGCCTGCTAGTGGTCAGTGTAAATCCCTCTCTCCAGGCCCATTACCCCAACGGCCCCAAGTCCCAGGCAGGCGGGGGAGGGCAAGAATCTTTCCATGTTTTCTAGTTCCCCCTGACAAGGGTTAAAACCCCAAACCCCGTGACACCTGAGCACACGGGTGGATGCCCGCCCCACCCCCACCCCCGCCCACTGCCCAGAGACAAACCTCCTCCACCAGCCCAGCTAGCCCAACCCCCAGCTCCCAGAATAGCCTGCGGCCAGGGCTGGCCTGTGGTAAACAGCCCAGGAGCCTCCCTGGTGGGTCTGGGATGAGTCATCCTTAGGAAAACACAGGGGTGGGACTGGGACCTGAGCTGGTGGGCGGGTCCCTCCAGGTCTCCTTCCTCCACTCCAGGCTGGACACAGGCCGGCCCGGTACAGAGGGGCTGCAGTGGGGAAGGCAGGCTTGGTGTCCCAGAAGGAGGAGGTATGGCAGCTTGCAGGCTATGCTGCTCCCCTTTCTACCCCCCCAACTCAGGAAGGAGGGTCCTGGGCCCTCCTGGAATGTTGCCCAGCCCTGCAGGACAACTGTCACCCTGCAGCTGTCGGCCCACAGGTCCTGGGACGGTCGTCCCCCTCCCGCCCCAACGCACGCTCGAACTTCACGGCGGAAGTCTCTTCCCAGCCTGTCCCAGGTTTCCAGGTGCCACTTCACAGGTGACACTGGATTAGGCTCCAGTGTGGTCCCGCACCCCTCCCATGACACCCACAAGCGAGTGTGTGCACTTCTCCCCTTCTGCACAAAGGCAGCCACTGCCCTGTTCTCCTGTCTCCAGTTGCCACAGGCAGCCCTTTCTGCTTGAAAAGACTAACAGAGCCCCCTGAGCCAGGCCCACTGGCGGCTCCCCACACCCTGGGGAGATTGTGGGTGGAAGGAGCCCCTGGCACGTGGGAGAACCAGGGGCCCTAGACGGGGAAGAGGCAGGTGGCGTGTCCCCTGTGTCTGTCCCCAGGGACCTCACCTCTCTCTGCCTGGAACACTCCTCACTGGGAACCCCCATTTGTCCTCTGGCCCAGTCCCAGCACCTCCTGTGAGGTGCACCCACCCCTGCAGCCCCAGTATCCTCCTCCTGTCCTTGCAGGGCAGCTGCTGAGCCTCGAGCCGGGGCCTCACGTCGGATTTCCTTGGATAAGCCCAGGTGAGGTCACACAGTGGAGAAAGTGGCTCCTGTCCAGGACCCTCAACAAACACCAGGCTCGTCATCCAGGTGACCCCACTCAGGACCAGGGCCGGTCCTGCCGAGGACTCCAGCCCCGCAGGCCTCCAAGTTGCTTGTTCCCTCCCATGCAGCTTTCTCGTCAAATGTCCTTTTCGCAGGGGCCGTCCCGTGTAAGTAGCAGTCCCCTCACCCAGAACATGCATTATTCCCTCTCTGTGGTACCAACTTTTTCTACGTAATTCCTGGCAGCACCTGACATATTTAACACTGGTTTACTGGAGCGCCAGCCTTTGGGAGGAAAAAGCTCCCACTGCTGCTACTCCTCAGCCTCGGATAAGGCCGCATCTAACCTCCTGGTGCCCTTCCGGGAGTAACCCACCTGTCCTGGCCTCTGCCCAGGGACAGTACAGCAGAGGCCTAAGGGAGCCTCGGACCCTGTGCATTTACGGGCATGTGTGTGTACCTGTGTGTGTGTCTCTGAGTGTGTGTGTGTATTTGTCTGTGGCTGTGCCTCTGTGTGTGCATGTGCATGTGTGTGTCTGTGCACGTCTGTGTGTGTGTGTGTATTTCCTTGGATGAGTCCATTAGGCCAAATCAAATTACTTCTCAGAGCAAAATACAAGGAACCGTTAGGCAGAAAGACCTGGCCAAGAGTTTTCCATACTCTGACCTCCTGTGGGGAGTGCTCTGTTTTCAAAGGCTTTTTCACGTCACCTTCGCCTGTTGACACCTGACCCCAAGTTGGATGGTGGCTTGTGGTCCCTTCTTTGACACACGCCCCACATCTGAGCAGGGCACGGGTGTGAACAAGGCACTGATCTTTGTGGAGCATGTGCATTTTAGGGGATACGAACCATAAATGAGAACAGAAGACGGTACAGTATCTTCACACGGTGATGGCGTTGCTGGGAAAATAATTAGAGTGGCGGGATGAGAGGAAGTGGGGTGAGGCTAGTGAGACAATGATTTTCCAAGGTGATAGTTGAGATAAGGCAAGAACTGTGCACTGGAGCCATCTAGGGGTGGGGTCCAAATAATATATGTCCCAAGAGAATGATGGGGGTGGGGGGAGGGGTAACCTAAGTGCACAGGGGGCCCCAGTGAAGCCCCCACTCTTAATGTCCACGGTCCATGGGATCCGCCCACCCCACGGACACTGAACATGGGAGGCCTGGGTGGGTGGGTGGGGCGCTGGAGCCTATAGAACCCCCAGGCCGAGGCAGACGCCGTGGTGACCACAGACCTAAGCTCCTTCCTGCCGGGTTCCCCCTCCCCCAGATGGGGGTTGGTGCTTCTCAACCTCCATCTCAGTTTGCACAGCATCTCCTTGGCCTCTCTGAGTAAACCTTGTCCAAAGTTACCTCTTCTGCACACAAATGGTGCTGTCAGTGTGAGAGGGAGGGAGGGAGGAGCTCCATCTCCAGGGGATGAAAATGCCCCCAAATGCTCCATTTCCAGTCAAGTCCACCTTCACTCTCTCGTCCCCACCCACCCCCAGCCCTGGCCCCAACACATCCTCCAGATCCAGTTCCAGGAGGGCCCAGCCCTTCACTTACTTCAGATGGCCTCAGAAACATCTATTTCACTGACTTGCTGGGCTGGGACTCCCCTCCTTCACCCCAAGTATCTAATGGGCGCCTTCTGAATGTCAGGCACTGGGCCAGGCACTGAGATTCAATGGTGAGTCTCAGGGAAAATGGACCCTGAATCCATGCAAGAGAAAACTGCAGTCCTGAGAAGGCAGTACAGTGAGTCAATGGGAGACTAGGGGTCCCACCCCAGGGCTCCCACCAGAGACTGGCTCCCCTCAGTCCTGCCAGAGAGGCTTCGTCCTTGGAAACTTCAGCCCCTGAAGGGCAGGGGGCAGTGAGCCTGGTGGTAGGTGTGTTTGTGACGTCTCCTTTGGCCAGGTTCACTTACCTTCCCAACTATGACTTTAGGCCGAAATGCACATTAGTATTCCCTACTGGGGGGCTTCCCTGGTGGCACAGTGGTTAAGAATCCGCCTGCCAATGCAGGGGACACGGGTTCCAGCCCTGGTCCGCGAAGACTTCACATGCCACGGAGCAACTAAGCCCGTGAGCCACAACTCCTGAAGCACGTGCGCCTAGAGCCCGAACTCGGCAACAAAAGAAGCCACCGCAATGAGAAGCCCGCGCACCACAACAAAGAGTAGCCCCCGCTCTCCGTAACTGGAGAAAGCCCGCGCGCAGCAACAAAGACCTAACGCAGTCAAAAATAAATAAATAAAATTAATTAATTAAAAAAAAAATTCCCTATTGCGGGCTGGGGGTCCAGAAGCTGTGTGGGCACAGAAGTACCACGCCCCTGGCTGTAGGTGGCCAATTCTGCGCATCTGGCGAGGCCAATTGATACACACACACACACACACACACGTCCCGCCCAAAGCGAGGGAGGTGCCGCCTCCCGCACACACCGGGCACCTCTCTGTGCCAAGCGAATTCTAACTGGGGCACCGGCACCGCCATAGTTAAGGCGCAGGCGTGGTCCCCTCGAGGTGGGATGGGGCCCCAGCGTGCAGGAGCCTCGCCCCGGTGCGGGCCTCCCCTCCGGATTTGGGCCAACACTCCGCTCTTCTCATCGTCTCCCGCGGTGGCGACCCCAACGCCCCCTCCTCCTCCCCTTCGCCGGCAGCCTGGGGCGCGGCACCCGCCCAAGGCGGGGGCGTGGGGCATAAGGTCGCCGCCCAGAGGGAGCTCATCTGGCGGCGCAGACGCCCAGCGCCTCCGGGGAGGGACTTGGCCTGCGTTCTGGTCCTCGGCTTATCGGGGAGGAGCCGAGAGGCTGCAGCTGGCGGCGGCCTGCCCCGAGTGGGCCGAGGTCCTGGGCGCGGCAGCCAGGCCGGGGAGCCCTTCTCGGCAGAACCCGCAGCGCGGGATCAGCGCCGTCTGCTTTCCTGTCTTCTCTGGGCAAACCGCGGGAAGAAAGCGCCCTCTCTTTAGCGGGCCGGGAGCTGCAGAGCATCGCGGGGCGCGGCCGAGGGGAGGAGAAAACAGAGGGAGCAGCGTAGGCCCGGGCTCGCGGGGCTGCGGCTCCGCCAATCTGCGGGCGCTGACGCGGGGGGCGGCTCCGCGGCGCTCGGATATCTGACCGCCCGGGGAGAGGCTCGGCTGTGCGGGGGCTGCGCTCCGGAGACGGCCGGTGCACCTGCCCGGGGACTTCGCCGGACGCTCCGTGCGCCACCCCCCCGCTCCCGCCCCCTCCTCGGTCCCCGCGGCCCTGCGCCCTCATTCCCCTCCAGGTCCCCGCCTGCGGGCCGCAGCGTGAGAGAACCGAGCCCTGCCCGAAGGAGCCGCCCCTTCTCCGCCCGGCCGGCTCGGCGCCTAGCGCGGCCCACGGAGCAGCGCAAGAGACTTCGCCGAGCCTCGGATCGGATTGCGCCGCGCGGTCGCCTCCACCCCCGACCCCAGGCCGCCGCGCCTTGGCCGAGATGGGCCTAAGTGTCCGGCCCCTGCGCGCCTGATGAGCGCGGCCGCGGCCCCGGAGACCCAAGCGGGCCGCTACGTGCGCGGGGCCTCCCCGAGCTGTGCCCCCAGCTTCGCGGACGAGGGCCGCTGGGCCCGGCCGGCTGAGGGCGCGGCCGCTCCGGAGAGGCGAGAGGGAGCGGCCCCGAAATGGCCCGGCGAGCGGGCGCTTTGGCGGTGGGCGCCCTACGCGTGGGACAGCCCCGGGACGAGTAGCTGGCCGACGCCAGATGGACCTTGATCCGCGCCGCGGCACCGCGTTCGTGCCAAGCCAAGACTAGAAGGGCACGGGCGGAGCGCGCTCTGGGGGCGCCCGGAGTTCCAGGCCCCGCTCGCCCGCCGGGCCATGAAGATGATCCTGGTGCGCAGATTCCGCGTGCTCATCCTGATGGCGTTCCTGGTGGCCTGCGCGCTGCACATCGTGCTGGATCTGCTGCCCAAGCTGGAGCGGAGCGGAGCGCAGCCCTCGGGGGAACCCGGCTGCTCCTGCGCGCAGCCCGCGGCCGAGGCGGCGGCACCCGGCTGGGCCCAGGCGCGCGGACGCCCGGGGGAGCCCCCGGCAGCAGCCTCCGCCGCCGGCGACGCGGGCTGGCCCAACAAGCACACACTGCGCATCCTGCAGGACTTCAGCTCCGACCCTTCCTCCAACCTCACGTCCCACTCGCTTGAGAAACTGCCACCCGCAGCCGAACCGGTCGAGGGCGCCTTGCCGGGGCAGGATCCCGGCGCCCTGCGACCCTTAGACCCCGGTCACCGGCCGCTGCTCAGAGGCCACGGGACGCGTGGACCTGTGCCGCCCCCCGGCCCGAGCGGGGACGGCTCCCTCCTGGCCAGGCTGTTCCAGCACCCACTGTACCAGGCAGCCATTCCGCCGCTAACGGAGGACGATGTCCTCTTCAACGTGAACAGCGACATCAGGTTCAACCCCAAGGCGGCGGCGGCGGCGGAGAACCCAGACTGGTGAGTGGGGCTGCAGCTGCTGAGGTGGGTGCTGGCAGGCCCGACACCCAAGGCAGCCAAGCGCCCCTTGAGAATAAAGATCCTTGCACCTCCAAGGCGCTGTGTAAAGAGGCTCAGGGTCAGAGACTCGCAGAGGGCGTGGACCCCAAGGCAGAGGCCCCAGGAAGGGGAGCTTTGTGGGGCGGGCAGCGTGCAGGCTCTGGGCACTGCCTTTGTCTCCAGAATGACTGCCTCCCTGAGAAGGGCTGCTGGGTGCTTTGGGAGCTGTTTCCTGTGGCCACTGACCTGGAAGGCAGACATGGCAGGCAGGAGCCGGGAAGAGTGAGTTCTGCATTTACAGGAAAGCAGTGCTGGCCTGCAAGGCCCTGGTCACTGGCTCACAAAGGGACTCAGGCAGTGAGTGAAGGCGCTTCCTTGGGAAGCCGCTGCCTGCAGGTGCTTTTGGCAGCACCGCTCTGCTGGACGTGTCGGGGAGGTCTGGAGAGGCCTCAGGAGCCTGGTAAACCAGTCCCTGGGAAAACATTAGCAGAGGGGCATGCTGGCGCCCATGAGGCATAACCAAGGGGTTCTCCCCCTGCCCAGGCTGCAAGGGGGTGACAGCTTCCTAAAAGGCGAGTAGCATCCCCCAGTAGCATCTCTTTAAACTGTCCTGCTTTAACCCCTCCCCCCCAGGCCCTCCTCAGCCACACAGATCAAAATAAGCAGATGCTGCTGCCCTGGGTGGTGAAATATTAACCAACAGCAAGGTCGCGATAAATAAGTACCTGCAAAGGTTACACAGGCAACAGAGGGGAAAGGCCAGGTTTCCAAAACATCTCATAAAATCCTTTCTCCTTTGCAGTTGGACCAGACCCAGTGTTTTCTGTCTAAACACACCAAGGTGTTTAGTGGCCTCTGAGCTTTGTCTGCTGGCCAGGTTCACGGAAACGCTCAGAAATTTGAGAGGCAGAGCCGTGTGCTAGGCCTGGGCCTCTTTGTAGGAGAGACAGAGCCCAGGGCCAGTGGCCAGTGATGGGGCCCTTGGGCAGCTTCTCGTAACCCATCGTGTCCATTGTGGGGCAGAACTTGGGGCTGAAAAGGCCTCACTTGCAGGTGAATTAGCGCTTAGACAAGTTCCGCTTTTCCCTCCAGCGGCAAACAGGGCCTGGCCCTTTGGCTCAAGAGACAAGGATGGGCCACGTTGGCAGCAGGTCCTCAATTTGGGCCTCGGCTGGAGTGAGTGCCACTTTCCTCTCTCCCCACCCACGGCTGCTTCCTGAAAATCAAATTTAGCCTCTTGAATCATTGCTGTCCCAAGGCAGAGCACCCAGCGAAGGCTTCCGCCAGACTGGGCTCATCTGCCCCCAGGAAGCCGGCAGCCCCTCGCACCCCAGGCTGACATCATGCTTGTCAGGTGTTTCAGTGACCCTGGGCCAGACGCGGCGGGGCTTCGCGCTGACGGTCTGGGTTTGGTCTGCTTTAGTTAGAGCTGTCTGTGGCGTCTCCCAAGGGTAAGTGAGAATTACAGGCCTTCAAATATATTATTAGCTGGTGGAACAACGGCCACAGAGAAAGTGCGGACGTCGCAGGGCCCTGTTTGAGTAGAGGCACCTCTGAGTAAATCCATGTTTGCTTGGCTCCAAAGTGAAAACCTTGGCATCGATGCCAACTCCCCCATCCATCTCAAGACCTTGCTGTTCTGTTCTTTCCCTGTTGACCTGGGTCACCTTCATTTGTGCAGGCCACACGAAGGTCCTGAGGATGAATTCCTACCCACAGGGGACACGGCCGTGGACTCCTATCCCAACTGGCTCAAATTCCACATCGGCATCAACCGCTATGAGTTGTACTCTCGACACAACCCAGCTGTGGAGGCCCTGCTGCGTGACCTCGGCGCCCAGAAGATCACCAGTGTTGGTAGGTGACCTCCCTGCCCGGCCAGCTCTCCTTGCTGGAGCCTCACCTCGCGGGCGAGTTATACTGGCAGCCTTCCCAGAGGAGGCGCCTGCAGGCCTTCGATGCTCTCAGTATTTGGGGGCAGCAGGAGGCCGTCTTCTGCTGTTGCAAGATGAGCATGGCGGGGCAATACGCCGCCCCCAGTCCTGTTGTTCTGCTGCAGGGGGTGCCCCACGGGTCCCCCCCGCGGGTTAAGAAGAGGCCCCCCTGGCAGCTGCAGGGAGACGCCTTGGAGAGCTCGGCATCTTCTGGTTGTCTGGGGAGGCTCTGCCTCAGAGCCCACCTGGTGCTCCTGGGGTTCGTGTGGGCGGGGAGTGACTAGGGCTCAGCTCTACCCAGGGCAGAGCCCCATACACGGAGTAGTTTGGAGGAGACGCCTCTGAGTTCTTTGGGATCTGCTGAATCAGAAGTTTCAGGGCATCCAGTTACTGGTTCCAGGAAGGTGTGCCGGCAGTGGTTTCTGAGCGTGGAGGTTTGACGCCATTGTTCTCGGGCCTGTAGGCAACTGTTTGTGAAGGTCCCGATGAGTCACTAATAGCTCCAAGGGCAGAGTGGGTGGGCAGAGGCCCTGGGTGGGAGGGCCAGTCCCAGGAGGCGCGAAGGGTGGAGGGAGGCCCCAGGAGCACGCGTGCTGGGGGCAGAGGGTTCCAGGCACTGTCTTACTGGCGTCTGGGCCATCCTGAGGCTGAAGGGGCTCTGCCAACCTGGGCTGATGCCGGGGAGCCGGGAGTTGCCTGTGAGGCTGGCGCCCGGGTCTCCAGAGCGCTTTAGACGCTGTGCTGGGTGCTCCGCCCGGTGCTGAGCTGCTTGGCAGCACCCTTCTCCCTGGCATATGGTTGTTCACCCTGAGAGAGAACTCGCCGGGACACGACGGTGGTCTCCCCTCCTTCTTGCTGCCCAGGAGGAATCTGAGTGCCTCCCGGCCCCCAGCCCCACCCAGCCCTCCTCCTGTGCTGGAAGGCAATCCGTGCGGACGAAGAGGACTGCAAGGGAGAGGCCACAGCCGGGGTGTCCCCTTCTCTCCTGAGTAGACGAGGTTGTTCGAGAAACATCCAATGCGATGACCATTTGTCATCTGTTCAGTGGATTCTCTTGAGCACCTCCTGCATCCCAGGGCCCCTTTCTGGGCCGTGGGAGTTGGGGGTGAATCCAGCCTCAACAAGCTTCTGCTGCGTCCTGACCTGCACATGCCGATGGACAGATAAAGTCGAGAGTGATTACGAGGTGGTGACCTCCACCTGGGAGGACCAGGTCTTGAATGGGGCGAAGGCTTCCATGATGGAAGGCGGCAGGGAGCGTGGGCCTTTCGGAAAAATGACAACAGCATTTTAAAGTTGGGGTTTAGGGAAGTGCAGCATTCATGCTTGCAGGCTGCTGTCCGCCCCAGTCTCCCATCTGTCAAGTGGGCTCGGGCACGTTGCATCTTATTTCAAGAAGATGGACAGTGCACCCAGGCTTGTACAGTATTAACTCAGGCTTTGTGCAGGGTCTTGGTTAGAGGCAGGGCTGCAAGGATCCCACATGCCAGCCAGGCTCGCCATACCCCTCAGGGGACAGACAGCCTCCCAGCTCTCACTGGACGTTGCCCTGTGCAGAGAGCAGAGCCCAGGAGCCCAGGAGCCCAGGGAGCCGCCGGAGGCCAAGGACAGCCCTCGGGGGCTCACAGGCAGCTTTGCCCGCCCTGGGCACCCTCCTCCCCCATTCTCCCAGGGGCCTGGCCTTGGGGCACCCCCACCCCCTTTGGCTTGCTCTGCGCCTGGCAGGGTGACCTGGGGTGAGTGCCTGCCCATCTGTGTCCTGTGGGCTGTTTGAGCTGATCTCACCCACTGGACTACCCTGGCCTAGGTGGTCCTAACCCAGCATGTTCCTTGGGGCCGTGGGCCGGTCAGAGCCCAGGCTGGCATTCACAGGTGCCTGACGAGTATGGCAAGGTTGACTTGGTGGGACCCCGGGTATCATCACCCACAGCGAACAGCAGGCCTGGTGTGTCCCGGCTCCCCCAGTCACGAGTCAGCGTGACTCTGGGCAGATGGGTTAACTTCTGTGGGCCTCCCCACGTCTCCTGTGGATCACAGACGTGGTCATATCCTCGACCCTGTAATCTCCAGCTTGCAAATCTGAAATCATAACCCATTTGACAGCAAAACCCGACCCAACATGAACGGACATGGAGGCAAAGCCTAAAATGAGAGACTGTTAAACCCTTGTTTTTCTCACTTGGAGTGAATGTTCCCATGGAGTGCATTTAATTCCGGGGTTCTCCCCCGACCCGCTCAGGGCTACAGGATCTGTGGGATGGATACACCACCTGCAACTCTTGTCATCTGAAATTTTCAAAACCCCTGAACACTTCTGCCCCAGAGATTTTGAAGACGAGCGTGGACCCATGAAACCTGCCTCCCAGGGCTGTTGAGAGGTGTTGGTGAGGAAGAGATGGGAGCAGAGGCTAGGCAGCGTCCCCGCTCGTTACCTGTGCGTGGGGCAGCCAGCACTGGGCAAGCTGGAGCCTGCTGAAGGCCTCCGCCGGACGCTCAGCCCCACTGTGTGCGGCTTTGTGCCTGGAGGTGCTCCCAGCAAGTTCACACTTGAGAGGAGGCCCCTCTTCCTGAGGAAGCAGGACATCTTCTCACCTGGAGCCCAGTGGAGCCCCCGGGAGCATGGCTGCAAGTGTCCAGGCCCAGGCTCCTGCTGGGCGGGGAGCAGGGGAGGGCTGGCCCGGCCAGGCTGCAGGCGTCCCCGGGGGTGTCTGCCCCCACATCCAGCTGGTCGTTTTTGTTGGACACCCAGCTGCTGAGACAGCAGCCTCTGACTGGGCCCTTAGCTTAGCAGAGCCACTGGGTGGGTCTGCAGACCGGGGTCCCTGGACAAGAGCTGTCTGCTGCTGGAGGCCCTGCCCCTGGCACTGCTGTGGCCTGGGGGGGTGCAGCCCTCGGAGGCCCCATGGGAGCCGGGAACCTGCCTTGGGAGTCAGGGTTCAACAGCGCCGTCCGTCCTTTTGAGCTTAAAGTGGAAGAAGAGCTAGAAATCCAGCCCGTCTCCTGACCCCACCCTGCAAATCGGGGGGCAGGCCTCCGGGAGGGCAGCCTTGCCCATGGTCAGCACATCTCCGCCCCCAGCTCTGGGCTGTGTCTGGACCCAGATGGTCACTTCAGTCTTGGAACGTGAGCCCAGAAGTGGTGTGGCGATGAGAACAGGTCCTGCGAGGCCCCCGATGCTTTCCCTCAGAACAGCTCCGTCAAGGCGCCCCGTTCAGAACCCCTTGATCCACTCACAAAACTCATGTGGCCAGCGGAGATTTCTTTAGAGCTGGCCTCCCGGCTGCTTAGCAATGGCTATTAGCTGCCTTTAAAGAGGCTCAGGACCCTGAAGCCAGGCCTGCAGAGGCTTTGGCTGGGCCAGTGATAGTGTTGATAATTAAATCACTGTTGTGCACAATCATGGATGCAAAGAATAAATGACACAATTAACTACTCTGTACTTGGAGTTACTTAAAAAGAAGTCACTCAGCAGAAGAGGATTCGGGCAGCCTCTGGCCTGAAGCACAGACCCCACAGTTGCTCCACCAAAGCCCTGGGTGGTGCCGAGCAGTGGAGACGCGGCTCCACGGGACAGAAGTCCTGGGCGCTCACTCACCTGCTAGGACAGCAGCCCAGGGGGCCGGAGGGCCGCCCTGCCTAATAAGCGGGCTGCTCAGGAAGGTGGCTCTGGGCCCAGAAGGGCTACAGTCCCCCTCCTTCCCCGGGGAAACCACCGCATCGTGCTCCGCGTCAGTCCCCGGAGCCTGGCTCCACTGACCCGGAGGAAGGGAACTGAAAATGCCCAGTAAGCTGGACGCCCATGCCCAGGGCCGGAGGGGCCTTCAGTCATCCTGGAGGAGGGACAAAGGCCGCCCCAGGGGACCCGGAGAAGGCGGTGAATAGCTGAGGTCCTCCTTGTGTCTCTCCGCTGTCGGGTTGAAGGTCAAAAACAAAACCTGTGCGTTGCTGGCCCAGCTGCACCCCCGGCGCTTGCCTTCTCCATTTTGGACCGTTGGCAGCCACGGCCCCGGAATCCAGTAGGCGTGTGTTCCGACTGGGTTCCGTCTAAGTCCAGGGCGGGAGCTGGTTTCTACCTGGGGCAGTGCTGTGGTTTCCCTCGCAAGTAAGCAGAACTGCCCCATAAGGGTGAGCTGGAGGGTAGCAAATCACGGCGTCAGGCGTAGTCCAGGCCGGAAGCTGTTGCTTCTCGAACATCCTGGGGCCTGTGTCATGGCCTGAAGTCTGGGCTGCACCCCCAAGTTGGGCCGAGGACCCAGGCCAGGGCACAGGCTTACGTGGGGCAGGTGCCCATGGGGCTGGCCCCTCAGTGCCTGTAAATGGACGCGCTCTCGCCTTTCTCCGTGGCGATGGGGTGGGCGGGGAGAACAGAGAACCCAGCGGCTCCTGGTGTCACATTCTCCAAACTTGAGCCGTCCTTGGGCCAGGCCTCACTTCTTCTGACCCTTAAATCAAGGCAGGGGCTGTGAAAACAGCTGGACCAGCGTCCTGACCGTGACCCCTAAGGACAGACGTTGGTCCTACTTCACAGATGAACTGGCCGAGGCCGAGGGCACAACGTCAGTGGCCCTGCTGGCGTCCCCGTGCTCACCTGAGTCCCCTGAGGCACCGACGAGTGGGTCTCAGCCCTGCCCCCAGCCCCATGGGGGAGGCTGGGTGGGTGTGGTGAGCCCCCTTCAACAGAGGGGGCCGAGGTCGGAGCAAGCGGAGACACCGTCTAGGGCGCCAGCTGGGGCCACCGCACACCCAACCCTCCAGTGTGGCAACCTCCCGCCACCTCTGCCGTAGGCCCATTTTCCCAGGCCCCGTCCACCCTCCTCAGCACGGCTCCTCCAGCCCCTGGTTGGCGCTTCCTGACCCTGAAACATCTGCCTGCCCCGGGCCTTGGTCCCGGACCCTCCCCACTCCACCGCCACGACCCTCACATTTGCACCCATACCCTGACCTAACCCCACAGCCTCAGGCCACCGCTACCCGGGGGTCCCCCCAGAGCCTGGAGCAGTGCATCATCAAGCTCACGGGCCTGCCCCAAGGCAGCAGGTGACCCTGTATTCTTTCCCTCCTGTTGCAGCCATGAAGTCGGGGGGCACACAACTCAAGCTCATCATGACCTTCCAGAACTACGGGCAAGCACTGTTCAAACCCATGAAGTAAGTGCCGGGCCGGTGGGGGTCAGGCGCGAGGGGCTGTGGTCGGGAGTGCGCAGGTCGTGTGATCTGTGTCTCAGCCTCTCAGCTCTGCTCTCCTCGCCCGAGAGCAGCCAGACTCTATGTCTGTGAATGCGCACAGCCGTGCCCGTAAAACTCTGTTTCTAAAACTAGTGGGTCAGCTGATTTGACCCCGATCCCTATTCTAGATAAGACAGAAACTGCTACCAAAATCAAAACGAACCCCTCAGTGGCCCCTGAAAACTGTGGGGCTGGTGGAGAAGGGACTACCCCGGAAATGAGCAGCTGTGGTCTGTGATGTCCACTCTGATGGTCCTGGGGCTTGCTTGTCCCGCATGGGCCCAGTTGTTTGCCATCTTTGGTTAGTTTCAAACAGGGCCTTTTTTTTTTTTTTTAACATCTTTATTGGGGTATAATTGCTTTACAATGGTGTGTTAGTTTCTGCTTTATAACAAAGTGAATCAGTTATACATATACATATGTTCCCATATCTCTTCCCTCTTGCGTCTCCCTCCCTCCCACCCTCCCTGTCCCACCCCTCCAGGCGATCACAAAGCACCGAGCTGATCTCCCTGTGCTATGCGGCTGCTTCCCACTAGCTATCTACCTTACCAAACAGGGCCTTTTTTGCACTGTTGAGACGGTTCATTGTTTTTAAAGCATGGGTTGCACCCCCAAAAGCCCATGAGGCCATTCAGGTCATGTGGGGCTGCTGGGCTGGGTGGGGACTGCGGCAAAGCTCCAGGGCATGGGCCCCCCCAGAAGGAGCAGCTATCCGTGACCAGGGCGGACGGCCAGCCTGGTTCACACAGGACAGAACCCCAATGTTCATGAGGGGTGATGTGGGCGAGGTGAGGCCTAGGCTGCATGTGGGCTCCTTGGGGAAGGTTCTGGAGGGGAGGGGGCTCCTCCTAGAACTTTCTGGCCACCGTGGGCTCCTCTGTGCCCTCTCAGATTGGAGCTTGAGTAGAGGGGCCCCTTCCAGGCCTCTAGATGTCACAACAGTGAGTATGGAACTGTGTGGGGAGGAGGGTGTGCCAGGCGGGGTCGAGCTCAGATGTTGCATTGACGGCCAGGTGACAGGTGGGCCTGGACCCCTCCCTGGCAGGAAGCCAGGACGATAGCTGAAAACCACAATGTCTTTGTCGCCCCGTCGGCCACACAGGCCCCCCCGTCTCGGTGGTGTATTGTCCACAGTCCAGTAAGTCGTCTCCAGATGCGCCCAGAGCTATGTAAGTTGAAGATTCTGAATTAATTAGGTGGTAGTACTTTTCCTCTGAGATCTTGAAGGATGTATGCTGAGAGGGTCTAGAGAGGAACAGCCCTGAGGTGGAGGTAGAGCCTGGGGGGCCCGCAAAGTGTAATTTACGTGGTTTGTGCACGACCATTTAAAGTTGTTTTTTTTTAAATTTATTTATTTTACTTATTTTTATTTTTGGCTGCGTTGGGTCTTCGTTGCTGTGCGCGGGCTCTAGGCGCGTGCGGGCTTCAGTAGTTGTGGCTCACGGGCTCTAGGGTGCGGGCTTCGGTAGTTGTGGTGCGCGGGCCTAGTTGTTCCGCGGCATGTGGGATCTTCCCGGGCCAGGGTTCGAACCTGTGTCCCCTGCATTGGCAGGCGGATTCTTAACCAGGGAAGCCCCACCATTTAAAGTTTAATGGGTATATATTTTTAATAGACATTGAAAAATATTTAAATAGGGCCTTAGCCCATGGGTTGCTGAGTATTCTGGCTTTAGTGTTGAAGTAAGATTTTTTAGCACCTTTATCAAGACGTAATTTACATATTTCATAATTCAGCCACTTAAAGTCTACAGTTCAGTAGCTTTCAGTATATTCACGGAACCGTGCATCCATCGCCACAATTTTAGAGCCTTTTCGTTGCTCCAGAAAAAGCCTGTCCGATGCTGCCCTCCCTCCAGGCCTGGACAGCCGCTGGGCTACTCTCTGCCTCCGTGGACTTGGCCAGCTTGGAGTTTCATGTAAACAGAATCACACACTATCTGATTCTTTGTGTCTGCGTCTCTCACTGAGCATCATGTGTTCAGGGTTCATCCACGTTGTGGCCGGTGTCAGAGCTTCCTTCCTTTCTGTGGCCGAACAACACTCCCCAGTGTGGATGGGCCACATTTTACTTGTACTTTCATCCGTTAATGGGCGTTGGAGTTATTTCCACTTATTGGCTGTATGAATAACGCTGTATGAACATTCATGTACAGGTTTTGGGGTGGACATGTTTTCATTTCTCCCGGCTGTATGCCTGGGAGTGGAATTGCTGGGTCACATAATAACTAAGTGTGACTGTTTGAAGAGCTGCAGACGCTTTTCCTCGGCGGCTACGTATCGTGTGGTCCCACCAGCCACCTCCACGTGCTGCTCGTCAGTACTTGTCTTTATCCGCCTTTTCGGTCCTCGCCATCTTGGTGGGTGTGTGACGTGGTGTCTCCTTGAGGTTCTGATTCATAGTTGTCTACTGACGAGTGGTGTCGAGTGTCTTTTCATGTCCTTGTTGGTCATTTAGATCTTCTTTGGAGAAATGTCTGTTCACATCTTTTGCTGTTGTTTAGTTCATTGTCTTTCCATTAGTAAATTGTAAGAATTCTTTATATATTTTGGATATAAGACCCTTATCACATACGTGGTGTCCTTTGAGGCACAAGTTTCTCATTCTGAGGATGTTGGATTTAACTATTATGTTGTTGTAGCTCGTGCTTTTGGTGTAGTATTTAAATTGTAATATCGAAAAATGTACATGCTAGGTAATAGTGGTGCAGGTGATTGTGTGTGGCTGAAGTTCAGAAGCATTGGTTTATCCACAGAGACAACAGGCCTGGCAAGGCCATTGTTGTGTGACCTCCAGTAAATTCACCCCCTTACTGGGACTCAGTTTATCCATCTGTCAACAAAGGCATTGTAGGAAGAGGTTTGAGGTCTAAACTCTGTTGGATTGGTTTAGGAGACAGGGCACCAAGTTTATAGAAGGAAGCAGGAGGAGCTGGTATTTGGCAAGATGGGGTGGGGCTGGGCAGATGCACCAGAGTGTACGGGCTTTGCAATAGGATTCAACCTGCTTCTTGGAAAGGAAGCGTCCAGGTGTGCCCGTAACACTAGCTGTGACCACCTGCTGGCAGAGGTACGCGTTCAGTCAGCCCACGAGCACTGAGCCCGGCCTGGCCTCCTGCCAGGTGCAGGGAATGCGGGCGTGACTCAGGCCCGGCACTGCTGCTGCTTAGGGTGGGATGGAGAGCGGTGTGTCTGCTCCACTGCGCAGGGCCTGGTCCTCGGTGGGTGCCACACGTACGTCTGCAGAACGAACAAGAGAACGAGCCACTGACGGCAGACGGGAGACTGAGGGCTGGTGAGCACTTGGGAGGCAGCTGGAAGTTTCTCAGAAGTGACCTCCAGCTGAGGCCTGAGCACAGGTGTGACACTCAGGAGGACAGCCTGGAGGAGGCAGCACAGTCCAGGACCGGGCGGCTTCTACAGTCTGGAGGACCAGTGCTGTTGTGCAGAGTACATCACGGGGCTGTTTATACTGAGGTTCATTTAAGTGAGATGAAGTTACAACCTAGTCTCTCGGCACACCAGCCACACCTGAGGCGTCAGGGGCTGCACATAACTGGTGGTGCCGTGTTGGACACGCCCAGCATCACAGGAAGTTCTGTGGGACGGTTCTGTGTTTGAGCACAGAACTCGAGGGGAGATGGGTCCAGGCAGCTGGAGAGGGGCAGCGGTCAGACTCTGCAGGGCATCTGGGCCTGGATGTTGGGATTTTTTCCAGGAGTGTCAGTCAGCCACGTTATACGGGGAGGGTGGGAGGGCTAATCGGGTGTCGGATGGGAGGTGCTGGCGTCTGCGCCTGAGGAGGCGTGAGGATGGGGGATGAGCGTGGCTCTTAGAGACACTTGGGAGAGGAAGACCCCCTGGGCACAGTGACGGACGTGGTCGGGGCTGAGAGAGTGAAGCCTTCCAACCTAGGTGCCAGTGGCCTGCGGGGCCGTGCGGGGTGGGGGGTGGGGGTGCAGGCAGGGAGCAGGTGCACGTGGAGGCGCCTAGAAGGTGAGGCCTAGCCGTAGAGAGTGTCCTTGCTGTGTGACCTTGCAACACTCCCTCCCCTCTCTGGGCCTTGGTTGCCTTACGCTGCACGAGGCTGGATTACAGGAGGCTTCGGGCCCCTGCCCTAGGGGACCTCTGTATCTCCAGTAAGGAAGACGGTGAACTCAGCACCGGCGGGGCTCCCGGAGCCACTGCAGTCGCCTCCCCGAGTCAGCCCTTGCTCTTGATTGGCTGGTGAGCTGGAGTTTGCAGTTGTGACTTGCAGACATTCGAGGGATGATGACTATTTGGTGCGCTTGAGCAGTGGCTATTTAGGGCACAGCAGCTGAATGCAGGCTGGAAGCGGAGCTGCAGCCGCGCTTCTGCTCAGGTCACTTGCCAGCAGGCGACCCGTCGCTCCCCGCGGCCTGGCGAGGCTGCTTTAACGGTCCGTTTTCACCAAAACAGCCGGGCCGCCTCCTGAGCGTTTGGAATCCGGAGCTACAGCGCCCTCTGTGCCGTGTGTGTTTTGGGATCCAAAGCGTGTTCAGACGCAGGGAGGGAAGGAAAGCACACCTGCCCCCGAGGTAGCTTTGAGGGGAAAATAGCTCCAACAGCAAGACGACACCTCCAGTACAGACGAGCCGGTCGCTGGTGTTCCACAGACCCGGCATCACTTGCAAAGCAGAAGAAGAGAAAAACCCCACGGGCCAGGCTCAGTGAGTCTGAAATGGGTCGAGTCTGGCTCACTGAGCACTTGTTAGGCAGGGCTGAGGAGCTGGGGCGACAGTGGAAGGCGCCCCCAAAGAAGGCACCACCCCCACAGCCTGGAGGCAGATGGGACCGAGGTCGTGGGTGCAGGAAAGGGCGCCATGCCAGACACAGTGCCTCACGGACCCAGAGAGGGAGGCCACTGTTACCCCACAGACCTTGTGGACAAGGAGACTGAG